ACAGCCATCATCAGAGCAGCCTCCTCCTACAGAGACGGGAACAAGCAGCCAGAAAACCTGTAGAGCGTGAGAGACCTGGAACACTCGTCCCTGAAAGGGGTGTCTCCATCAGACCTCGCTGTTGGCGAGGAGGCAGGGCATGGATGCTCAACCACAGCAGCTCCCCTTGAGCCTGGCCGTTCTTTCTCCCCAGGGAAAGACGTCTGCTATAATGACCTTGGATGCTTTTCTGACACTGAGCCCTGGGCAGGGACAGCTATCAGGCCCCTAAAACTTCTCCCTTGGAGCCCTGAGAAGATCAACACCCGATTCCTGCTCTACACCAATGAGAACCCAAATGCTTTCCAGGTGAGACTTCTCTTCATGCTCCAGGACGTCTCTTTATTCTTGTCCCAGCTCCCCATGCCCCGCCCCACCTTCTGGATGAGCGGCTGGCTCACAGATGCCAGATGCTCTGGCTAGCTCTGTAACTCTGGTCTGGGCACAGGGATTACTGTCCAACAACCCACAGGAATGATAACCCGGGAGCCCCATCCCAGGAGGCAGGGAATCAGGAATGGAGAGGCCAGGATGGGCCTCCAGAAGAGCTGACTTTGTGTTCCTCCTTGAGAGGCCAACACACTGGGCCAGGCAAGGATGGAGATGAGAAGAGACAGGGACAGGTTTGCAGAAAGCTGAAACCCTTTCTGTGTGTCATAGCTTCTCCAGCTTTCTGACCCATCCACCATTGAGGCCTCCAATTTTCAAGGGGCCAGGAAGAGCCGGTTCATTATCCATGGCTTCGTAGACAAAGGAGACAAGGACTGGGCAACCGCCATGTGCCAGGTAGGGAACGTCTAGTCCATGTGACCCCTTCCCCCTGCCCTGCCTCACTTTACACAGCTGCAACACACAGCCTGAAGGCCCAAAATTGTCACAGCGGCACAGAGGCTTCTCTTCACCAGACCCCACTGTTTCTAACCCACACTTGCAGCCAAAAGCAGGGCTCTGCTTTGGGAACTCGCCCTCCCCGACGGCCGGGCTTCCTGTTCTGCATGGTTCAGGAACCCTTGCTGTCATTTCAGCAGGATTGTTTGTATTTCTGCAAATTGGGGATTGCGGAGCTTTGCTTGTCCAAATCTTCCCCACAGTCCTAAGAGTCAGAGGTATGTGGCTGTGACCATTTATTTTAGGAAGACACAACTGACTAAGATTGACAGGTGACTCTGAAGAGGCCCAGTGGGGACTGGGGCAGGAGAAAAAGACACCTGGTGATATGGACAGCCACAGAAGGACACAGACCTACCCACATGTGCTCACGGGATACAGGCATAGATGCACACACACGTGCTATGCATAGAATCCATGTAAGAAATTGTGCAATCGTGTGTCTTCCATGTATACAGAAATCGTGATGTTCTTACTTATTGTGGTGGTAATGTTGCCAAGAAAAATTGCAGTTGGCCACTCTGCCATTGTCACCTAACTGTCCAGCCCTTAATAAGCATCTAGTTAGCCCAGCTTACAGCCCCAGACTTTCCACGGTCTGCAGGCTGCTTTGAAAATGGAAGTCCCAGGAATACAGCCATCACAAACTCGAGACATCATACGTGTTAGCACAAGAGGATCTCGGATGTTGGTGCTGAGCTGGCAAGCTGTGTGGGCAAGCTGGCTGAGCTTGTAAGGGAGCCCCCCTCTCTGATCCCTCAGTCCTTCTCACATTAGCACTACTCTATTCTTCACACACCAGCACTGTGTGTCTGCTCCAGGAAATGTTACACCATCTTCACTGCCGGAAACGGCCCCTCCCTCAGGAAGTGCCCAGGGGTCCAGCCTGTCACCTAAAAGACATCTCACAAAAGAACCATAAGGCCATGTAGACACTAGTCACCAGACACTATGCTGAGGGCTTTTCCTGTCTCACCCAGATTCCTTTAACAATGTAATCACCCACCTGGTCAGCTTTGGTTGAAGGAATCAGAGGAGCCGGCTTTTCCTCCATCTTTAGGGTTTTCTCAGCTGCTAGGACTTGCCCGGCGGAGTCAGGCTTCTGCTCCCCGGCTGGAATGGGTCCCCGGGCCCCATGGCAGCGCTGTGTCTCCCCACCCTAGAACATGTTCCAAGTGGAGGAGGTGAACTGCATCTGTGTGGACTGGAAGAGGGGCTCCCAGACGACCTACACGCAGGCCGCCAACAACGTGCGCGTAGTGGGGGCCCAGGTGGCTCAGATGATCGGCATCCTCTCGGTGAGCGGGCGGGTGGGCAGGCGTGGGGGGGGGGGGCGCGGGCAAATTTAGGAGGTGGAGGGTCTATTATCCTCTTCCATTTACAGTTAAGGAAACTGAGGCACAGACAGGCTAGCTAGTGTGCCGAAACACAGGGCAGGTGAGTAGAACTGTCCTTGGGGGCCACATCATGCACCTCTACACACGTGGAATCTGAACATGGCAAAGCCTAAGGAGGCCAAGGATTGCCAGACAGAGCCACAGAGCAGGGCAGAGACTGACAAGCGTGGTTCCCTGTGATTATGGGTCCCACCAATGCTGGGAGATGTTTCCTGCCATAAGCATTTCAGCTGCTTCTTCCAATCCTGGCCTTTGATCTCACCCAGCACTCTTATGTCTCTTCTTCGCTGTGTTAATTCAGGAATTCTTTATGGCTAGTTTCTGACCAGGTCAAAGTCCCACTATTAAATGTTTTTCTTTTGTTTTATTTATTTCCTTTACATCCCAAGGGTTCCCCCTCCCTCCTTTCCTCCTAGTCCCCTTCTCCTTCCTTTTCCTTTCTCTTCTTCCTTTCACCCCAGGAAAGAGGAGCCTCCTTCCCTCCGTATCAACCTTCCCCAGCAAATCAAGTCACATCAGGACTAAGCATATCCTTATTCCCTGAGGCCAGGCAAGGCAGCCTTGCCAGAAGGAAGTGATCCAAAAGCAGGCAATAGAGCCCATTTTAGAAACAGCCATCCCCATCCACTCGACAACCCATATGAAGACCAAGCCTCCCTTCCACCACATATGTGTAGGGGTCCTAGGTCCAGATCATGCATGATTAGTTGATGTCTTAGTCTCTGAAAGGCCCCATGGGTCTGGGTTAGTTGTCTCTGTTGGTCTTCTTGTGAGGTTCCTGTTCCCTCCAGGTCCTTCCATCTTCCCCCCAACACCTCCACAGGACCCCCTGAGCTCTGCCCCATGCTTGGCTGCAAGTCCCAGCATCTGTCTCCACTTGCTGCTGGGTGGAGCCTCCCACAAGACAGTCATGTAGGCTCCTGTCTGCAAGCATAGCAGAGCATCTATCATTAATAGTGTCAGGGGCTGGCTCTCTACCCTGGGGTGGGTCTCAGGTTGGGCCAGTTCTTGGTTGGACTTTCCCTTAAACTTTGTTCCCTCATTATCCCTGCATTTCTTGTAGGTAATTTTTGGATCAAAGGTGTTGTTGGTTTCATGTTTTATAGGTAACGGGTTTACAAAGAATCAAATGCTTCCGTACCCCTACAGAAATCAAAAGCTGTGGGGTTTGTGCAAGAAGCAGTGTGCACTCATTAATGAGTGTCCTGTGGATACCACAGAACAGTGTGTGTGAGTGCCCTGGTGGCCCTGGGTTTCCAGAGGACAGAGTCGATAGCGTACGAGGAAGGAAAGAAGGTCAATGAGGTCCTAGGCCTTCGAAGAGCTACAGGGAAGACTGCAGTGACCACAGAGCATGACCTACCAAGGGATTCTGGGAAGGGGGAGGACACTCAGGCTTGATGCAGGCACGTGGGGACAGTTAGCCCACCTAGTCTTGGGAAGTCTCCCCAGGAAACAGCCTCTGGATGGCTGATGACATGGACTTTAGATACTAGTTGGGCAAGCAGTTAGGAAAATGGGCCACAATGGTATAAGGCAGGCCCAGGAGACACAGTGAAGGAAGTAGTAGACTGTTTGAGGCCACCGTAGGCTTTGGCTAGAGAAGAGGCAGGAAGAGCCACACTTCCTGCCTGGAAGTTGTGAGGTTCTGGAAAGTCTGGAAAGTTGTGAGGTTCTTGTCAGGGACTGGAGTGCAAGCCAGGGGCCCAAGAGAGGAAGAACCATCAGAACAGCAACCCCAGAATCCAAGCATGACCTGCAAATATGATCTCTCCTCCCCAGACAAACTACAGCCACTCACCTTCCAAAGTCCACCTCATTGGCCACAGCCTTGGAGCCCACGTGGCAGGGGAGGCAGGAAGTCGGACTCCAGGCCTAGGCAGGATTACTGGTAAGGCCCAGGTCACATTCCGGCAACCCCTACGAGCCTGTAGCCCAGCTTAGAGCTGTCCTGATTCCTTGGCTGTGGCAGGGATGGGTACAATCTGGACAGGGATTTTAGGAAGCTTCTAAGAAACACATGGGCCTCCCCAGTGGCAAGGAAGATGGCCCTGTGCTTCTCTGTGCTCCTTCAGCCATGACCATAGGTGCTCCTCTCCAGGTACAATCCTTTCCTCCATGTGGGTCACATAGCAGCTTTGAACACCAGGAAAGGGCAGAGCACAGCTAGAACGGACAGGAGCAAGTATACTTGAACAGCTGCCCAGTCTTTTCCTTCTTTCTGAAGTCGGAGAGAGTGGCACCTGGAAATTGCTTCCCACTTTTTCTTCTGGCAAAGGGATCCCAGCTGCCATAACTACCAAAACACTCTAACTGGCACATCAAAGCACAGCAAAGCCTTCGCTTTACAAGGGCATCAGAACATATCTGCATGGGAATACCAATGCCACTGTTAGAGAAAGCAGAGGCTGAAGGCCGAGTGCCCTAATCACTGCACAAAGCTTCACACTCCTCACCTGTCTGCTCCTTAGAACTGAAGAAACTCGGTCAGGGAAGCAAATGATTAGCCTAAGGTTACATGAGTCCCTGCCAGTCTCTGTGCCACGTTTTGTATATTGAATTTTTTAACCAACAACTACATAAAATTGATGCAGTTACTGCCTTCATTGATAAAACAGGGAAACTGAGATACAAAAATCTTGAATGACTTTCTCAAAGTCGTGCACAACTTGCTGAAAAAGTAGCTTAGTAGATACTTGGAATCAAGAAACTCATGAAGACACAGAATACTGTTTTCTTCACCAGGGTAAAAGAAAGAAAACTGCGAATATTAAATGTGAGCAACACGTGGAAGGATCTGATGCAAAAATGAATCCTTGCTGGTGCACATCTGAATCCTCTTGCTCACGTGCCCCAGCACGGCATGAGCGTGCCCATTCGGTTGCACACTGTGTGGCCTCTACAATCCTTCACCTGGGTCCTACGGCCCCGCGGCTCGACACTGCTGGCCCTCTCTTTCAGGACTGGATCCTGTCGAAGCAAGTTTTGAAGGCACTCCTGCGGAGGTGCGGCTGGACCCCTCAGACGCTGACTTCGTTGATGTGATTCACACAGATGCGGCTCCCCTGATCCCATTCTTGGGTGAGCCCCGGGGTGGTCCAGCCTCGAGCTGAGGACAAGAGGGATGGTATTTTAACCCTATGAGATCCGCACCCCACACCTGACTCATTGCTGTTACAAACATTTCAGGCTTTGGAACAAACCAAATGGTGGGTCACCTTGACTTCTTTCCCAATGGAGGACAGTACATGCCCGGGTGCAAAAAGAACTCGCTGTCACAGATTGTGGACATAGATGGCATCTGGTCAGGTAAAGCTGTGGGGGCCGGGGGTGCTGCTTCTTTGGGGTACTCAGCATTTACCAGAACAGCTCTGGGGAGGGGCACTGAGTGGGCCAGTGGAAACTTTGTGTTCATCCCTTAGATACTATGCTGCTCTGTATCATGACATGATGTCCCTCCTTGACCCGGAGCAGTGTCTCTGCCTCGCCAGCACTACCAAATGCATGCACGGCCACAGTTAGCTTATTTTTACACAGGCGCTGGGCATCAAACTCAGGCCCTCATACTTTCAAGGCAAGCATTTTACTGACTGAGCTGTCTCCCCAGTGCCATAGCAAGTTTTAGTAATAAAATGCACCTCCTTTTAAAAAATTTTATTTTTCTTTCTGCATATTATTTCTGAAAAATAACTATGTGGCTCTCAGATCTACTGATTCTGTATTTCCTTAACATTGTTGTGGGTGTGCCGGGGTGCAGAAGCAATAAAGATTCATACAGCTCTGGCTTAGAGCTGCAACCCAGCCGTCAGGTAGTGGTCAGCTCACGGAGAAGGGAGGTGACGAGACTGAACATAAAGGGTATCTCCAGAGAACTGCCCTGGGCACATTCCCTGTGCAGCAATATTACGGTTCAGTCCTAGGCAGCCAGCTTCACATCAGTGACTAGAACAAGGGGTCCCAGAGGCTTGCACGGCAAAGCCATCTTCACAGCACAAGTTGAGGCTCACTTGCACTGAGCAGGAGTGAGGAGCAGTCATGTGAGGAGGGCCAGGACGGGGCCTGGTGACTGGCTGCTGATGGGCACACCTAAGGTCAAAGGGCATCTGTCAGTCACTGCTCCAGTACTGTCCAGTGAGATCACGACTTCAACAGTGGCTTTCAGCCACACTAGCACCGTTCAAGCTAAAACCCTTGGTGGTGTGACAGAACACTATGAGTGTTGTTTTTATTCAGTCAAAATGGCTTGGCTGTCCTCCGTAAGGCTACATGTTTGGACCTGGGCAGCTCCTCAGCAGTGGACGATAGAGTTCAGGTCTAGGAGGGGTGCTGGGACAGTTGTCAGGTGACTGGAGATGCAACATGAAAGAACATGGTAGGCATGAGAGGGGCTAAGAGAGACAGATAAAGCCTCTGGAAGCTTCCTTCACCTTCACGTGCACAGGGGCATTGTGACAATGTCCGGGTGCTGATGGTGCCACATCTGAAAGAATGTGGCACATCTGGCTGTGTCTGAGGATTCTCAACCTTACACCTGGACACAGAGGGGCGGTGCTGAGTGCCAGATGAACTCCCCCCTTGCTAGCTGTGAATCACCTGTGGAGATTCTAACAAACGTGATACTGTGACACCTGCTTGGGGGGGGGCGTTAGTAGCTGATGCTAGTGAAGCAACCGGAACATTACGCCAGCACTCAAAGCCTCGTTTGTTTACTGTCATTATGTGCGTGAGTTATGAACTTAAATTCTGAGGAGACAGCTCCACTCCGGACCTATCACCCTGGAGGAAGGCATGGATGCTGTGACAGCCTGCCTCTGGTCACCTGAGCTGGGCTCCTGTCTCGTTTCCTCAGGAACCCGGGACTTCGTGGCCTGCAACCACCTGAGAAGCTACAAGTACTACCTGGAGAGCATCCTCAGCCCCGACGGGTTTGCGGCGTACCCCTGCGCCTCCTACCGGGACTTTGAGTCTGTAAGCTATTCTGCCATGAGGGGCACCGTTCCGCCGCTTGGGAGTCCACGGTGCCTTCTCTCTACCAGCTCCACCCTGTCCCTCAGAATGCACACTCTGTGGAGTGGAGGAGGGGAGAAAGCCTCCACAACTTTAGGCAGGAAGTGGGGGGAAAATCTGTAACAGATGAGCCATATAGAGGAAAATTGTTGACGAGCAGAGAACACATCCAGGTTGACCTGAATTTGGGAGGTATCCTGCACAAGAGCACACTGGAATCGTATTTGAAGAAACAGTAGAGATTGGAAAGGAAAGGAACATGACTTTCTGTAAAGCAAACACAGAAGAGAATGTGCGGGGGCAGAGCCACCCCAGTTCAGATGGGGGAAGCCAGATGGTAGGATTCCATGTGCCGGGCTGGCCACACCAGCACACGCTGCACCTGCCTCTTCACGGGAGGCAGCTCTCACTAGCTCTACACTGTGACGTCATGCTGACCGCCTGAAGTTGGCCAGCGTTGACAGATTTACACTGCAGAGCTTGGCAAACTCTGGGTCTGGATCTGTAGCTCAACCGGTAGAACACTCGGTTGGCGCGCACAGAGCCCTGGGTTAAGACCCCAGCACCTTACAAACCAGGCAGTGAAGCCCAAACCTGTGACTCCAGCATTCGTGGGCAATAGCAGGATGATCAGAAGGTCAAGGTCATCCGGCTGAGGTCAGACAGCCTGGGAAACATAGGAATCTGTCCAGAAGAGGAGAAAGAAAAGTACTGGCAAAGCCTGCAGTTTATACGGCGTGAGGACACCACCAGCGCTCCCTGCCTGGGAAATACAACTGGTAGAGAGTGGACCGAGATGCTAACAGTCCCTGAATGATTCTACCACGCTCCCATCAGGGCTAGGGATCGGGCTGCAGACAGCAGGTTCCAACTCCTTCCCTGTTGCAAATGGGGAACTGGGCTTCGGGAGAGTGAGACACACTGGCCTCACAGCCCCATTCTCTCCACCAGAACCAGTGCTTCCCCTGCCCGGCGGAAGGCTGCCCGCAGATGGGCCACTACGCTGACAAGTATGCTGGCAGGACAGATGGGGAGCAGCAGAGGTTCTTCTTGAACACAGGGGATGCCAAGAGCTTTGCACGTAAGCTGACAGCTTGCCGGGGTCAGGAGAGTCAGGCCTGTTAGGAGGGAAGGTTTGCCTCTGACCTGAAAGACTTGTGAGCATGTTTTGATTACCTCAGAGAAGGGCGTGGCCCTCAGCGTCCCAGGCCTGACTCCATGAGGCACAGGCTGCACACAAATGTCTCCTACCTTATCTCTGCTCTGTGGAAGAACTGGAATCGACAGTGCGATTTGTGGGGCTGAGGCAATCTGCACTGCTTTGGGAACAACTAGCCTGAATTTTCACTCCTCTACAGTTCATCATCCCGTTCCTTTTTAGGACTCTCTCTCTGTCTCTATCTCTCTCTGTCTGCCTGTATGTCTCTCTTTGTCTCTCTCTCTCTGTCTCTCTCTCTCTCTCACACACACACACCTCTGTATTCATTCAGCAGACACACTTGGCACCAGCTCTTTGCCAGGCTGTCTCCACAGGGAGCTCAGCTCCCACACTGGTACATCCTTTCTCTATTCACATGCCCCTGGTGCCTCTCTGACGTCGAGGGGTCAACTGGAGGAGGGGTGTTTCCTCTCCTAATCGCACTGAACACACTCAGATGCCCAGTCCAGATTAGGCATGTTTAGGCCATTTGTGACAATTCAGCTTCTTAGGTAGTTTCTGAAATTCAGGTCTATTGAGGTATAATTTACATATAGAAGACTCATCCTTTTTAATGCATACTTCTGGTCTGACACACCAACAGACAGTTTCCGTGGAGATCTGGGGCCTTCCCATCACTGTAAACACACATCCCTATAATTTTTGCCTGAAGACTGATTAATCAGCCCTCACTGATGTAGCAACACTTGGAGTGACGGACTGTATTTTAACAACAGAGGAACCGTTCAAAACCATTCCCCCAGCAACATGTACTTATGGGTCACAGATGTGGGCTGCTCGGTGTGGGCCAGAAGGATGATCAGAACCCTGTTTTGGGATTTATGAGTCCTTGCTGGTTAGAGGGTGGGGAACTGGACCCTGAGGCAAGAAAGGACGGGCAACAGCTGCGTGAAGGCGCAGGCTGAGTGGGAGCTAGGCAAGGGGGAGCACGTGTCTGTGCGCACGCGTAGACCCCTGGATGTGTGTGAGTGTGTTGTGACAGTGGAGGCACATGTGTGGGGATTTGTGTGTCTGTGTGTGCTAGCCTGTCTGTGCATGTATGGGATGTTCCCGTGTGTGCGTGTGTATTTGTGAAAGCACACAGGCCCTGGGACAGCACCCCAGGGCGTTGTTCACATGACAAGCGCCTGAGCACCAGAGGTCCTAGGGGTGTGGAGATGGGACTGCAGGCTGGAGGTGCGCGGCAGGCCTCGCTCCTGAGCCGCCCTCCCATGCTGGCCTGGAGCCACGCCACACAGCACCACCACTCTGCAGCAGAGCTGCCCTGCAGAGCTTTCTCCTTCAGCCCTGTGGGATCTACAAGCCACTGATGCCACACGGCAACTTGAAACCCACGCCGTGGCTAGGGAGCCTGAGGGAGTGAACAGCTCTATTTTTCATGATTGTAACTGTAAGCAGCCATCCAGGGTCTTCTTCCGGGCAGTACTGGCCACTGGGGGCTTGTTAAGGGTTAGCAGGTAGGACTTCTTACACCCTGTGCCTCTGTGTGTGGGGGAGGGTGGCAATCTGGGTTTAGGGCACCCATTTTCTGTGTCGTACTTGGATGTCTCCGTGCTTTGCTCAGGCTGGAGGTACCGGGTCTCGCTGACCCTGTCCGGGAGAACGGTCACAGGGCAAGTCAAGGTGGCCCTGTTTGGAAGCAAAGGCAACACTCACCAGCACGACATCTTCAGGTAACCCCGGGCGGTGAGCAGAGCGCCGAAGCTCTTACATGGTCAGAGGTCAGCAGGTCTGGAACGACTTCACTACAAAAATACTTTTACACTTGTAGTGATTTTTAACTTAACCTAACCTTTCTTTCTCAATAAATTTAAAAACTCTGTTACTGATCCAGATACCCTGTCTGCTGATCAGTTTAACAATACATGTTAAGCTAAGAAGATAACTTATTGTATAGATGATCCTTTCAGAAAAAAATCTAAAATAATTTGAGAAAATTTTACCACTTTTTCTACAAAAAGAGAACTTAATTTGAGTGAACAGCGATACTGGATAGTAGGTGTGGTTGCAAGCTTAGTGCCGGCTCCCACCCCTCCATCTTTGCTCGGAGGTCACATTTGTAAGAAGCCTCCTCGTTTCAAGATGGGCAAGAGCGGAGGGGCGTGGTCCTCTGTGGTCATTCCAGTGCTCTTCCACGACCGGACTACTTCTCCTTCTCTATTTCCAGGGGCATCATCAGGCCAGGCGCTATGCACTCCAGTGAGTTCGATGCCAGGCTTGATGTGGGGACAATTGAGAAGGTCAAGTTTCTTTGGAATAATCACGTGGTAAACCCAAGCTTCCCCAAAGTGGGCGCAGCCAAGATCACTGTGCAAAAGGGAGAGGAGCTGACAGAGTACGTACCTTCCTTTGCTGGGTTGTCTCATGATGTCTGCAGAGGATGCAGGGGAGCCCTCCCCCAGGACAGACAGGGGGAAAAGAAACCGTTTGCGTTGGGGCGGAGAAGCGTAGAGGGGACAGTACCTGCTGAATCCCCACCCACAGCCTCCTGTCTCCCTGCTAAGCAGCACCAGGGGGCCTTCAGCAGAAGGGAGGGAAAGGGGAACAAAGCTCCTCCCCAAGTCCAGCAGAACCTCCTGGTGAGGATGGTGGGAGGAGCAGGCTGCTGGTGACGTTTGGAATGGTGGCCTGTGAAAAGGTATTCCCAGGCCTGGGTGCCGCAACTGTCTGGCCAAAATCACATTAGCGTGTCACTAGAACCCTGAAGGTTTCTGAAGAGGATGGCACACTTAGTTCAGGCTACCCCCGAGGCCCTACAGCCCTGAGCCCATCTATGTCTGACAGACGCTTGGTGCTGAGCCTTCAGCTCTGCCCGCTCACTCTCTGTGGGAAGAATCTCCTTTGTGCCTTTCTGGTTGGTGGTGGCACCAGTCTAAGCCCAGCACTCGGGAGGCCAAGGCAGGCAGATCTCTAGGTTTGAAGCCAGCGTGGCCTACAGAGTGAGTTCCAGGACAGCCAGGGCTACAGAGAAACCCTGTCTTGAAAATACCTTATACGTTAATTTGGGTTCATGTGGGCAAACGACATGGTGCACAAAAACTCAGAGGACATCTTGCCAGTTACTTCTGCTGTGTGAGTTGTGGGATCACACTCAGGCCAGCAGGCGGCGTAGGTGAACGTACTGTTACCTGCTGAGCCATCTCACGAAGAATCGCTCCTGAGAGATTCTGACACCAAGTGTTTAAAATATAAGAAAGTCAAAACCCACTTCAAACGTCACAAATTACTCGGGGAGGGGGGAACAAAATTCAACTAGTAAAATATTCAGACATTCTACTCTTAGGAGACTTGCCAGGAATAATAATTAGAAAGTTAAGAGCAGTCAAAATCGTGACTCACCCTCTTCGTGGGTCCCTCCCCCATGTAATCTGGTGTAAGTCATTTCAGTGGGATCTCAAGCACTGCCTAGGACCGCGACGGGAAGAGCGGGGGAAGCAAGCCCGCCCCGCCTTAGAAGCCCACCCCACCCAGTGCCACTGTGAATGGGACTTTGACCTGGAGCTCAGCACACTCCTACCCTGTCCGGGGGCCGTGGCCGTGGGACTCCACAGTCTGTGTGAGAGCACCAGCGGCGGGACGGCCTGGGCTGGTGGGCTGCTCACCGGAAACTCAGCGGCGGCAGCCGGAGCGTGCCTCTCCCGGGCCCCTAGCTGCAGATCAGTGTAAGCTGCTGCGCCCCTGCAGCGCACACCAGGACCAAGCGCTTGTGTTTCCTTACAGGCACAACTTCTGTAGTGCAGACACCGTGAGAGAAGACACTCTGCTCACTCTCATGCCTTGCGAAACCCCAGACCCGGTGTGACCTCGTTAACACCAATAAAATCCTCTGCTGCACGTGCCTACATGGTGTCTATCTCGGACGCCAGCTGCCACCTGTGGGGACATTTAGCGACCAAACCCTTAAAACATGGAGGGCCTTTCTCTGTATGTGGGTGTCCCGGCATCCAGCTGAATGCCACCTTACCCGGCTTCCTGGTCTCCTCCACACCCAGCTTTCTCTTCCTCAGAGAGGGGGAGACTCACAGAAGGGAAGGGTGAGTGGCCAGGAACTCTGAGAATCCTTGCCCTCCCCGCATCTTCTTAGAGCGGGAAACCGAGGCAAAGAACGGGGATCTATACACACATGACTGTGATGCTGATTTCCTGGCATTTGGGAGGTGATGGGGGGTTTGGCGGGGGAGAAGCCTGTGATAGCCCTTATTGAGAAACCCAGAGCTTCACATAAGCGTCACAGTCCCTGGCTGCAAGCAGGCGGCCTCGGGCCCTTCTTGCCTGCCTGCAAGCTGTGAGGAAGGACTCAGAATGGGTTCTAAGAAAGGCACGAAGTGGACTTCCTGCTAGGATGACCACAGTGCCTGTGATGGCTGAGGGGAGTCCTGACAGGGCCGGGTTCACAGACTCCACTACAGACGGTGCTCTCAGGGTGACCCGGCCTCATAAGCTATATCTGAGACAGCCAAACACGCCTGTGACTTTCCACCAAGGTAGAAGTTGCTGGACAACAATAAATTAACGAGCCTTGTAGGCTTTCTTGGCTGAAGTTGACCGAGCGCCCGGTTTTGCTTGACAATCACAGCACATCTGCGGCAACCACACACCCTTTCATTCTGGCTCCATTACTGATGTTAACGCTCAGATCTTGCTTCACATGTGGACCAGATCTGAAGGTTTATGAACCACAGCTGTTCAAACGCAGAGCTGACAAATGCAGGTCCAGGCAGGCCATGCAAAGTACCGCTGTGAGTGGGCTGAAGGTCACGAAGTAAGAAACTCACATGCAAGCTGGGCCTGGGGAAAGAGGAGGCAGGCCTTCCTTGTGGTGATTTTCCCGGTGGTGGCTCCGTGGCGAGGGATCTGAGGCAGCCTGCCTACCGTGTCTCAGTGGCGGAGGCCCACTGCATAGTCCCAGGTCTAGTCCCGGGTCTGGGGTGACTGGCAAGCATGTATTGGAGTTGCTGGTGTGACTCGGTATGCTCACAGGTATCATCAGACACTGGTAGAAATGGAATGTCAGTTTGTACCTCATGTACAGGCAGGTGGAGGCTGTCACTTGCATAAACAGGATGTAGGCTGCATCTTTCCTAGTATTTATAGTCGAATGGAATGGAGTAATTCAAGCTGAGAGCTGTGATTTCATCACAGTATAGCATAGCTGAAAGCAGGCCTAGTCTCTTCTCACCCAGCCCAGCCAGGCAAGCCACACCCTCCCCAGAGCATGGCCCCTTTAGTCACCACAGCAGCCTTGGTCCTGGCTTCCTTTCTGTCCTGCTGCCCACAGCGAGCCTTCCCAAAGGGTCAGACTTGGTGCTCCCGGTGCTGTGGTGGACTCTAAAGAGGCCACTGTTTTTGTTTTTGTTTTTTAATGCCAGGTTCACGGGACCCTCAGAGACCACCAGGAGACGACTCGATGCAATTGCAAGAGAGCTTTATTACGGGAGCGATCGAACTCGGGACCCAAGTCTCACTGACACAGCAGTAGAGAAGTGGGCCCCTGAGCTCTGAGTGAACAGGATTTTTAAAGGGAAAGTCTGTGAGCAGGGTGTTTCCATGGCAGCAAGCAGGGGGGCACAAGCCTTGGCGTTACAGAATTGGGTGAAGTTTAGCAGGGCGGGGTGACCTTTTCTGAGGCACATAATCACAATGGCTAACATATAATCACAACGGCTATTTTTCTAAGCCACATCTGAAACATTGGGGAGAATTCTCCCACCCGATTCTCAACCGATTCCCATTGATTATTGCCAGGGAGTTTGTCTCTATTTTCTATGAAGCATTTATTCTGTTATATTTCCTGGAGGCTGTTGCTAGGAGAGTTAACTTTGTTTTCTGCCAGGTGTACACTCTGTGATATTTCCTGGTGCCTGAATTTAGTTCTCAGTGAAGATCTTTATTTCAAAATAGAGTTATATTCAGGCTATCTTAAGCTCTTCAGTTTCGTTTCTTTAAAGACTCATTACTTATTTATTTACTTACTTACTTATTTAATGTAGGTGAATACATGCCAGAAGAGGGCACCAGATCTCAGTATAGGTGGTTGTGAGCCACCACGTGGCTGCTGGGAATTGCACTCAGGACCTCTAGAAGAGCAGAGGATGCCCTAACTGCTGAGCCATTTCTCCAGCCCTGAGGAGCCCGCTATAGGAGAGGGCTTCCCGGTGTAGCTGAGAAAGCCCAAACAAACCCTGCAGCCCCCTGGCGACAGGCACCTGCCCTTAAAAGTTACTAACTCTGAGGACTGGAGAGATAGCTTAGTGGGTCCGAGCACTTGCTGTTCTCAAAGAGGACTCGGGTTCGGTTCCCAGCACCCACATGGTCCAGCAACCATTGGGAGCTGCAGTTTCGAAGGTGAATGGACGTATGTAAGGCCAACAGTCACGCATAAGAGAAAACAAGTTCTGTTACTGATTCTGCTCAGCACACGCCGAGCCACACGCACCGGCCTCTCTCCTGCTGGCTTTGCCTGGAGAACATCTCTGGTGCGTGTGTTCTGATAACGATGGCTTTTCAGGCCCTATGGCCACTTCTGTCAGAAGCCCTGACTTACCCCTGGGGCCTACGTGGGTGCCCTGCGAGGGACTAAAACTGGAAGAGGCTCGGCTTCTCTGCCTTCATCTTGAAACATCTATCTCTGTGGCTGCCTTAACCTTTGGAGGTGGCTCGGTCTGGTCAGCTGAATCTGGACAAAGTGGCACTCAGGGAGTATCTGTCTGGAACCAAGATTTCAAGGTTAGTTTACCTGAAACTTTCCCAATCTCTCTCCTTCCCCTTCAAGAGTAAGGACAACAGGACTGGAGAGATGGCTCAGAGGTGAAGAGCACTGGCTGCTCTTCCAAAGGTCCTGAGTTCAATTCCCAGCAACCACACGGTGGCTCACAACTGTCAGTAATGGGTTCTGATGCCCTCTTCTGGTAAGCATGAAGACAGAGCACTCATATCCATTAAATAAATAAATCTTAAAAAAAAAAAAAGAAAAAGAAAAAGAAAGAAAGAAAAAGAAAGACTGAAGACAACAAGATAGGATTATCTGAGATTTTTGTCAAGACAAGCCAGGCCTCAGCACCAACAAATCACCAGCTATCAAATGTCAGTGTCCCTGGTTCCAGACCCTGGGGTGGCCTCAGGAGGCTACCCACCATCAGCCGTTTCCTAGCCGAAGCTTCCTTTTCTGCCTCTTGCTTAAGGAAAGGGAGCTTGAAGCTGACAAGGAAAGGGCATCGCCTCTCCAGTCAGCCTGCCTTTCCCGGTTTGTTCTCCATCTACTCCGTCTCGTCATAAATGTCAAATAAACAGACTTGGGCTGTGTAGCAACAGCACAGAATGGGTGGAGACTCAGCCGTAAGTAGCCATACAGTAAGTGACAACGACGATGGTGGCAGCAGCGGGGACACTCCGCTCCCCGAATGTGGGGTCTCCGAGCAGTAAGGCGGGTGCTGGTGGGCGCTACGTGGCACAGCGGGAGCCAGCTGCAGTGTTGACCCCACATCACATACCGGTGGCACCACATCAGCAAAAGAGCTCAGTCACTGTGGCGTAGATTCTACATTTCTGCAAGTGCATATCACACCCAGCCGTGTCCATGTGGCTCTGCACATGGAGCTGTGCCAGGCACTGGGCAAGAGACAGCAGAGGATGCCAGCTCTACCCTGGGAGTATGAGTAGCAGTGCTGGGCACCGCGTGTCACTGTGTTCTGGGTACACAAATGTATGCCCTAGGACAGGGTGACCACGAAAGAGAAAGAAGACATTGGCAGTTTTTACAGGGGTGGTAGTTTGGGGCCCGAGTTTGATGATCCCCCAGAGATGTCAGCTAGGAGGCTAGTGGGGAAGGAGGCAGTCCCTGCGGGTGTGCGAACTCACGTGGGGTGGGACCTGTGCACAGTGACAGCCTAGACCCAAGTATGATGAGGGCGGCCATGAACCACAGCTAAGATGGGGCTTTGCTGTTCACACTGCAGGCACAGCGGCATAGAATAACCGACTGGTTTTAAAGTGAAGGAAGGCAGAGAAGTTTACACAGTGATGGAGGAAGGAGAGCAGGCAGTGTGCCTGCCGCCCCCACCAGGCCCTCTGCCTCAAGCCCTGCGCCTCAGGGGCCTCTGCTAACCCGAGCTCTAACAGGTACAGTTCTGCAGACACAGCAGTAGCCGCATGCACCAGGAGACAGAGAGGCGGCCATAGCCAAGGGGCCCAAGCTGGGGTAGCGCCAAGTCCCGGCCCTCTTGCTCCCAGCTTTAGCTAGCATGTGTCCTCATATGCCATATGCACCTGCTCGAAGTGTCCACACAACAGATGTGCACTGGACAAAACCCACGGAGAGGCAAAGGGCAGATCCCAAGGCTGAACTGACAGGTGTGGGGTCAAGTGCTCTCTTCCTGGTGCTGCTGGGATGTGGGGCTCTGCTGAAGAAGGCCTATGCGTAACCTTTCTGGGTAGCCTCCAATAGTGAGCTTGGGAACCGCCTGGGGCCTGACTGCCAGTCAGCCGGCCATGAGCTACTGACCCAGCAGCTTCCACCCCTGCATTCACCTTCACGGCTGTATGGCATTGCCTTGGCAGCTGTCCACCTGTGCCTCACAGGACCTGCCCTCTGGCCAGTTTTGGGACTCTGCCACGCTCAGCACAGCAGCTTTATCAAGGGGCTATAACACTTTGGTATTGACACCATAGGCATTGGAATGCCTGAACTTCCACTGCCACTATGATCGCATTTAAAAAGAGCTGACTAACTGTGACACTGTGGAGAACTCTTTCCACACCATGGCCTATCTTGTGGGCCTTGAAGCACCCTAGCCGCTCCTGGGAGACCTGGAACCTACTTCCCATTCAGAAGCCAGGCTT